AGAAGGTTAAGGGATGACTTGATCACAGTCTATAAATACTTACATGGGGAACAGAAACACGGGGCTCTTCAGTCTAGCAGATAAAGATCCAATGGCTGAAGCTAGACAAATCCAGTCTGGAAAGAAAGTGCACATTTCTAACAGTGAAGATAATTAAACATTGGAACACCTTACCAATGGTTGTGGTGGATTTTCCATCACTGGCAATTTTTATATCAAGATCACATGTTTTTCTAAAAGATATACTCTAGTCTGAATAGAAAATTAATTCAGAGAACTCATATGACCTGTTTCAGAGTAACAGCCATGTTAGTCTGTATTCGCAAAAAGAAAAGGAGTACTTGTGGCACCTTAGAGACTAACCAATTTATTTGAGCATAAGCTTTTGTGAGCTACAGCTCACTTCACCGATGAAGTGAGCTGTAGCTCACGAAAGCTTATGCTCAAATAAATTGGTTAGTCTCTAAGGTGCCACAAGTACTCCTTTTCTTTTTGCGAATACAGACTAACACGGCTGTTACTCTGAAACCTGTCATATGACCTGTGTTATACAGGAGGTCAGACTAGATGACCACAATGGTCCCTTCTGGCCTTAAAATCTATGAATCCAGGTCTTATTTTCTTCCAGACAGAGTGAGGGAAAAAACTCTCTGTGAACCTAGCTCTGCTTGAAATAGAGGTTAGCAGCAATAAACTTTCTGTCTCGTCCCTACACTGAAATATCAATCAATTCTCGTCTACTAAGAGACCACTTTGGTGACTTCTCTGTTCCCAAATGGCCAGGCCAAGGCTCCATAATTCATCATACAAAATTGAAATAAAATATTTGAGGGTCAGAGACTGTTAATGGTCAGAAAAAATGGCCTAACACCTCTAATCAAATAGAGACTTTTTGAACAAAGTTTCTATTCTACAACAAAGGTATTTGGGGCTGTCAGGGCTGGTTCCCCACTCTGGCACTTTGAGTGCATAAGGTGGGGACCTGCAAGGATTTTAAAAATTAATACTGGCCATTCCAGGCTCGTATTAAACTCCCAAGGTTACAGCTTTTCTCTGACCTTGGCTTGGTAAATGCTGCCACCAACCAAATGCAAACCCCCTTTTTTTGGAACCCAGGAAGGCACACTTGGGAATTCCTTCCTGTGGGTACCCTCAAGCCCTTTCGCCCCCCCTCCCCCCACAGAAGAGCTGAGAAAGAAAACAAAGGAAATTAGCTGTTGCCACCAGCTAATTAAACAACATGCACAAACCTCTTAGGACACCAAAAATCCAATCCTGTTCTTAAAAAGGTAAATTTTATTAAAAACAAAAAGAAAGAAAACACACCTGGAACTTAGGCTTTTGCTAGATTTAAAAAACCCACTTACAAAAATTAAACATCAAGAATAACTTTCTTGAGGTCCACCTTAAAGGTTACAGCAAAACAAAAGCATTTGGGGTTAGCACAGAGGAGTCCACAAGCCTTACAAAATAAAAGAAATAAACCTAATCGCGTCTTTCTAGACATTCCTCATCTACTTACACATCTGGGGTTTCAGATAAGTAGATTCGAGGTGTGAATTGATGCTTTTTCATACCTGGTTTTAAAGCTGCTTACAGCATTGCTGCTCTTTGTTTCCGCTCTCCAGAAAATGACAACAGACACAAAGGGAAAGTTTTTTCCCAATTTTAAAAAGTTCTAGCCTTCCCATTGGCTCTTTTGGTCAGGTGACCACTCCTTTCCTTTTACCTGTGGGCTTGTTAACCCTTTACAGGTAAAGCAAGTAGAGAACAGCTACTAAGAGGAATTTTACAGCTAACTGGCTGGCAAGGTGTCCATAAAAGAGAGCTACCCCACCTTCATTTATCACAGGGGCCTATACAAGAAATATTCTTTCCCTACTAGTGCAGAGAAAGACTTTAAGGTAATACTGCCTGGATATGATTTACAATATGAATGAATTCATTTATTCAGTCGAAACCGAATCAGCATGCACCCCTACTTAAAGCAGATACGGTCATAGACACTTGAGTAAGTAGCAGCTATATTTGCTAACAGATTCACCAGTGCTGTTTCAGGTCTGTATCGAAAGCTGCTCACATAAGAGTAGAGAAATAACTGCATTTTAGCAAAAGGGCTCCTGCATGCCTAAATTTGGGGTCCCAGATCCTTCATCTAGTATAAGGAGGCCCACTCTCAGTCTCTTCCTCTACCAAACACAAATAACATGATGCATGATTGGTGTTGAGATTTGGATGAGATAGGAAGGGATTAGAGATGATGTGTGTTGTAGGGATAAACTGGAATTGGGGTGATCTGTGATTTGGGAGAAGTCGGGATTAGGGGTGATCTAATGTTGTGGGGATGAGTGGAGATTAGGAGGTGAGTTGAAATGGGGAATGAGTTGGGATTAGGTGTGACGTGATTTGGGATGAGCTGGGATTGGAGTGACCTGTATCCTGGGAAGTAGGAAGTGAGCTCAGATGGGGGATGAGTTGGTGTGAGAAGGGGAGTAGCATGCGTGCACAGGACAGCAATTTGCTGAAGAAGATGAATGAAATCTTGCAGCCCTGCTGTGCTGTGCACGGCCCTTACCCTCCCCCTTATGCTGGCACAGATTTGTGTAGATCAGGTTCTCATCTGATGTTCCCTGAAGTCAATGAGAATCTTTCCAAATGGGTTTTGGATGGTCCCTATGGGCTCACTTGTGATCAATGGTTGCATGCCCACACAAAGGCATAAGGAAGTCCCTTCCTCCTGCATGTGATTTACCACATTGCCATAGTCTGCATAGGGAGACTAGGGGAAGAAGAGAGAGCAACTGCTGCTAGGCTACTACTCTCCTCCTGTGCAGGTGACCGGGGGAGGGGAGGGTCAGTGGAGCTTATGTTCCACCCAGCACAGCTGAGCTGTCCCATAGGGGGCAGCATGCTGTGTGAGGAAAAGGGCTCCTGTAGGCTCTGCCCGGATCCTCCTCAGACTACATTGACAGGTTACAATCCAGCTCCACGTGAGCCCCTTCAGATGTTTAAGGTCAGACTGAAGTCACTTTCCTCTAATCTTAATTAATCTGTTTTTTATTTTCCCTTGCCTGTGGCAGGTGATAAGTAGCGTGTACTTAAAGATCCTTCTTCTATGCAACAAAGATTTATTTGGAAATCAATAAGTAATAATGCACACAATATAGTGGAAGTGCAGTTGAAATGCACAGAGCTAGATCTCACACCAGTGTTGATCTGGCATAACTCCACGGGCGTTGATGAAGCGAGGCAAGTGCAGAATGGATGTAAATGAGAACAGCTTCATCCCCACAGGGCCAGATCCTGTACCCTTCTTACAGTGTCATTCAGCAGTAACTCCACCAAAGTGATTTCGAGCTGACACACCTAGTATAAGGGATTGCAGAATCAGGCCTGTGTAAGGGATTGCAGAATCAGAATCTCCCTGTCCTGGGGTTCATCCAGGCACGAAGCTGGCCCTTGTCTGTATGCGAGGCCCAAGGCTGGATGCTGTTCTGCAGTGACTTGTACGCAGAGCAGCAGAGCTGTCCGTGGTGCTGATGCGAGCTTGCCCTTCAGCAGATGCAGGTTTTATCTTTTTTCCGCTGGGGCAGCTCCTCCAACACTTCAAACCCCAGCCCGTCCTGACAGAACGGTTCGGTCCAGCAGCTGGATCCTGCCAATTTTTGGTCCTAATCTCCCCGATTTCACTGTGTGGCCAGAAAACAAGTGTAGCTGCTCCTTCTGGGCTAAAAATGTCTGGACCCTGATGCAACCTGGTGATACTACTACAACTTCATCATGGTACCTGGTTCCTGCTTGGCCTAGTACGTTTTTCTAGCTCACACCCCTAAATTCTAAAAGCTAAATAGAGAACAATGGCAGCTGCTCCCTATTGCATGTCCCCTTACAAAACAACAAAAGTGGGTTGGATCTTGCTGGAGTTTTCAAGTGCTTACGTGCCAGGATGTATCAGGGACTGGCTTTTATAGTGGACGAGGAGTGTGTAACTATGCAGTAAAATGTAGTGGCTTGTGGCCAGAATATCTGCTCCATCCATCATGGCCCAGGTGTCAGCTCGAGGTATTTGCATTGCTGTTGCTCCTGTAGTGGGATGTGTTGGAGTCCGGATTGTTTTTCCTCCAGGACAAGTGGCAACATGTCTTGCCTGTTTTGGCGATACGGTCTGGTTACTAAAGGCCCGAACCTGGTAGTCCCCAGCAGGGGGTAGGTGCTGAACATGCGATTTGGACTGTTACTGAATAGGGAGCTGGATTTTTGCTGTGGAAGTGGAGCCATGCAGTTTCCCTCAATTTAATGGCCAGACCCATGGGGTTAGGGATTGAAAATAGAGCAGGTCAACTGCTGGGATCCAAATCTTTGTGCTGGGGCGCAGGCCTGGTAGGCAGGCAAGGAGAGGCTGGACATGTTCTCCACCTACAGGATTGGGTCGGGGCTAGGGTGACCAGATGTCCCGATTTTATAGGGACAGTCCCGATTTTTTGGGTCTTTTTCTTATATAGGCTCCTATTACCCCCCAACCCGCAGTCCCGATTTTTCACACTTGCTGCCTGGTCCCCCTAGTGGGGGCAGCGGTCAGGGCCAAGTCTTGGTAGGCGGCAGGTGCTGGGTGTAGGTGGCTCAGCCGGGACCAGCAGGGGCCGGGTACTGGAGGCGCTCAAGGCTGGGGCTAGACAGCGGCTCCGTTCAGCCAGAGGGATCTGCAGGGCTCAGCGCCCCAGGCTGGCGGGGTGCAGACCGGGGGCGGGGTTTGCAGCCCTGTTGCACTGGGCTGAGGCCGGCTCCGGCTGGCAGCGGCGCCGGGGGGCGGCTACACCTGCTCTCCAGGCCCGGATCTCGGGGGTGGGGAGCAGCCCCGGGCCGGCTGCGCCGTGAGGCCTCGAGGAGAGGCTGGGCTCGCTCCGGAGCTGGGTGGCGCCGCCTGGCCGCGGCTCCCGGCCTCCTGCGCTCAGCCCGGGGGAGGGGTCCCCAGCGCGCATCCTCCCTGCCCCCGGCCGGCTGCGGCAGGCTCCCGCCCCAGCGCCCGCCATGGCGCTGAGCAACCTGCTCTTCGCCCAGTGCGTCGGCTACTTCCTGGCCTTCCTCTGCAGCTTCGTGGTGGTGGTGCCGCTGTCCGAGAACAGCAACGACTGCCGCGGCCGCTGCCTGCTCTTCACCGAGGGCATGTGGCTCAGCGCCAACCTGACGGCGGAGCGGCCGCGCTTCACCGTGCAGGAGTGGGGGCCCCCGGCCGCCTGCCGCTTCAGCGTCTTCGCCGGGCTGCTCTCGCTGCTGCTGGCCGCCGCGCAGGCCTGGCGGACGCTCTTCTTCCTCTGCAAGGGCCACGAGGAGTAAGTAAGGGGGGAGGGGGTTAGGGGACTCTTCTCCCCCCCCCCCCGGAACCTGCCCCTCCGCCAGAACCTGAGCCCCCCAACTTGTCCCCCCAGAACCTGCCCCCTGCCAGAACCTGAGCCCCCCCAGAACCTGCACCCCCAACTTGCCCCCTCATAACCACCCCTCCAGAAACTGCCCCTCCGCCAGACCCTGAGCCCCCCCTGCCAGAACCTGCCCCCGCCCAACTTGCCCCCTCGGAACCAGCCCCCCAAACCTGCCCCCTGCCAGAACCTGCACCCCCCAACTTGCCCCCTCAGAACCACCTCCCCAGAACCTGCCTCCTGCCACGACCTGAGCCCCCCGAAGCTTCCCCCTGCCAGAACCTGCACCCCCCAACTTGCCCCCTCAGAACCAGTCCATCAGAGCCTTCCCCCTGCCAGAACCTGTGCCCCCCAACTTGCCCCCTCAGAACCTGCCCCCTACCAGAATCTGTGCCCTCCAAACCCAACTTGTCCCCTCAGAACTAGCCCCCCAAACCTGCCTCCTGCCAGAACCTGCACCCCTCAACTTGCCCCCTCAGAACCAGCCCCCCAGAACCTGCCCCTTGCCAGAACCTTCCCCCTCGCCAGAGCCAGCCCCCCGCATCTGCCAGTACCCATCCCCAGCTGGCTGAGGAAGCCCTGCAGCTGCAGGGCCAAGGCAGGGAAGGGGGCACAGGGAGAGGGGGGCTATGCTCTGCCTCGGTGCTGGGACATCCAGGACCTAGCAGTGCCACCCCCACCTACATTGGCCTGCCAGGGGTTGGTGGTGAACAGGGGACACCAGGAAACAAGGTATTAGCTGGGATCTGACACTTCCCCCTGGAGACTTCCATCTGGACCTTTGCCCTCGCAACTAAGGACATGACTTTGGGTGTTGGCATCACCAACTTAACTGGAGCAGGGTCAGTCCTTAGAGAAGTTTTGCTTTATACTTGATGCTGTTCGGCAAGGTTGAGAGCTTCCTAGAGAGGCTCTAGCCTGCCATCCTTTAGGGTCGGTTGGCAAGGGGTGGGACTAATTCAGGGAGAACAGAGGTTTAAAAAGCCAGCTAAGCCACCAGAGGAGCAGCAAACTGAGTTTGGTGGGGGAGTTTGGAGAGTCCATGAGAGCCAGATACACCTGATAAACATTCTCTAAATTTAGGCCAATAACACTCCCCCCCACCCTTGAGAACAAACAAAACTCTGCAAGAGTAAAAAGAACGCAGGCAGAAGTTCAGCGGCAGAGTGGGGGCCACCCAATTTATTGCATTGAATGCAACATGAACGATTATCTGTCTTGTGGGCAGGTGACATATGTGTGGATTCGGCTCAAAGAGATTAGGGCCTTCAGAGACCAAGTACGGGCTCTTGAAACCAGAGTGACTGAACTAGTGGAGCTAAGGGAGATAGAGAGGTACAGAGACGAGACTTCCAGGGACACAGCACAGTGATCCCACCCCCAGTTTGACAGGCTCTGTGTTGCTGAGGAGGATGAACATCTTGGGGAAGGAGAACATCAAGCTGGAGCAGAGGGAAGCGATCCCAGAGCAGGGACCCTCCGTCTAGATGATGTCATGGTATCCTCTCACACTGAGAATACCTCTCCAGGGGAAGGGACCACTGTTATTAGGAAGAGACAGGTAACATTAATGTGGGATTTGATTATTAGAAATATAGATAGTCGGGTTTGTGGTGCCCAGGAGAACTGCATGGTGAATTTTCTGCTGGATGCGAAGGTTGCAGACCTCTTGAGACATCTAGACAGACTTACGTGCAGTGCTGGGGAGGAGCCGGTGGTCATGATTCATGTAGGTATCAATGACATAGGGAAAGGTAGAAAATTTAGGCTGGTAGGTAAGAGATTAAAGTCCAGGACCTCCATGGCAGCGTTCTCCGAAATGCTTCCAATACCATGCGCAGGGCCAGTTAGACAGGCAGAATGACCGGGTCTCAATGTGAGGATGAGAGAATGGTGTTTAGAAGAAGGATTTAGGTTTATTAGGAATTGGGGGACCTTTTGGGAACGGAGGAGCCTATACAGAAAGGATGGGCTCCACCTAAACCAAAATGGAACCAGATTGCTGCCATGTAAAATTAAAAAGATCGGAGAGGACTTTTTAAACTGAGGGAAGGGGGAAAGCTGACAGGTGCAGAGAAGTACACAGCTGGGATAGACACATCATGTAGGGCAGGATCTATTAAAGGGATACTCTATATCCCAGTAAAGGGGAGAGGATAGAAGTAGATAAAGTACAGGTAGGAACTGAAGAGAAACAGTCAAACAAAAAAGAATCCCATTCAGTTACATCACATGAAGGCAGACAACTAAATATTGACAAATTTTATAAGTTCTTACATACAAATGCAAGAAGTCTACATAGTAAGATGGGTAAACTTGAGTACCTGGTGTTAAATGAGGATATTGATAAATAGGCATATCAGAAACTTGGTGGAAGAATGATAATCATGGGACATAGTAATGTCAGGGTACAAAATATATACAATTACAGAGCAGGTTGCACTGCTGGGGGAGTGGCAATATATGTGAAAGAAAGCATATAGTAAAAATCTTAAATGAATCAAACTGTACCATAGAATCTCTATGGATAGAAATTCCATGCTTGAACAAGAATATAGCACTAGGAATATACTATCAACCACCTGACCAGGATGGTGATGGTTCTTGTGAAATGCTCAGGGACATTAGAGAGGTTACAAAAACAGAAAATCCACTAATAATGGGGGATTTCAACTATCCCCTTATTGACTGGGAACATGTTGCCTCATGACAGGATGCAGAGATAAAATTTCTAGATATCAATAATGACTGTTTCTTGTCTTGGAATCCACAAGGGGAGAGGCAATTCTTGATTTAGTCCAAAGTGATGCACAGAATCTGTTCCAAGAGGTGAATATAGCTGAACCACTCGGTAGCAGTGCCCATAATGTAATTAAATTTAACATACTTGTAGAGAGGAAAATGTCAAAGAAACCCACCACATTAACATTAGCTTCAAAAAGGGGAACGACACAAAACTGAGGAGGCTAGTTAAACAGAAATTAAAACGAATAGACACGAGTGAAACGTCTGCAAGCTGCATGGAAACTTTTTAAAAACACCATAATAGAGGCTCAAACTATAAGTATACCCAAATTAAAAAAACAACAACCAAAAACCAGAGGACCAAAAAAAAAAGGGAGATTCCCACATCTGAACCATTCTTTTTAGGTGACAAATCTGAGGGAACTGTCCCAGATTGAGCTGTCAAGAGAGGAGGTTTGGGAACAAATTGGTACATTAAACAGTAATAAGTCACCAGGACGAGATGATATTCATCCTAGAGGTCTGAAGGAACTCAAATATGAAATTGCAGAACTATTAACTGTGGTATCTGATCTATTGCTTAAATCAGTCTTTGTACCACATGACTGGCAGATAGCGAATGTAATGCTGACTTTTTAAAAAAGGCTCTGGAGGTGAACCTGGCAATTATAGGCCAGTAAGCCTAATTTCAGTACCAGGAAAATTGGTTGAAACTATAGTAAAGAACAGAATTATCAGACACGTAGATGATTACAGTATGTTAGGGAAGTGTCAATGCGGCTTTTGTAAAGGGAAATTATGCCTCATCAGTCTATTACAATTTTTTGAGGGGGTCAACAAACATGTGGACAAGTGTGATCCGGTGGATACAGTGTACTTGGACTTTCAGAAAGTCTTTGACAAAGTTCCTTAGTAAAGGCTCTTAAGCAAAGTAAGCTGTCATGGGATAACAGGGAAGGTCCTCTCATGGATCAGTAACTGGTTAAAAGATAGGAAACAAAGGGTAGGAATAAAATGGTCAGTTTTCACAATGAAGGAAGATAAATAGCAGGGTCCAGAAGCGATGGAAGCTCTGTAAAAGTGGGGGGGGGCACGGGCACCCTAACCATGGCCCCACCCCAACACTTCCCCAAAAGGCTACGCGCCTGTGTCCCCCCTTCTCCTCAAGCCCCCACCCTCGTGCTGCCCTTTCTCCCTAAGCCCCTGCCCTTGCACTGCTCCTTTCCTTAAGGCCCTGCCCCTTGCTGCTGCTTCTGCCTAAGCCCTGCTCCCACACGACCTCTTTCCCCCCCCCCAAGACCGCGCTCACTCCTCTGCCACCCGTCACATGCCCTTACGGCTGGTAAAAAGTGGGAGGGCTCTCCCACTTTTAAAAGTAATGGGGCCATGGCCCCCTGGGATCTATACTGGGACCAGTCCTATTCAACATATTCATAAATGATCTAGAAAAAGGGTAAACAGTGAAGTGGCAAAGTTTGCAGATGATCGAAAATTACTCAAGATAGTTAAATCCAAAGCAGACTGCAAAGAGATATAGAGAGATCTCACAAAACTGGATGCCAGGGCCACAAAATGGTAGGTGAAATCCAATGTTGATAAATGCAAAGTAATGCAGATTGGAGAACCTAGTCCCAACTATACATACAAAATGATGAGGTCTAAACTAGCTGTTACCACTCAAGAAAGAGATCTTGGAGTCATTATGGATAGTTCTCTGAAAACATCTGCTCAATAGATAAAAATAGAAATAAATGCTTAAAACCCATAGTCTTGAACAACTGTGAAAATTTAAATTAACTGAAAAAACACTTAAAAATAAACATCAATATTATCTATCAAACTCTAAAGAAATAAAAATAAAATTCTGCCAAGCCTCTTCATACCGCACTTGTGAATCCTTGCAGGCATTTATAAGCATTGCTCTAGTTTTACTGGTATGCTCCTGCTGCCTTGTGCCACTCTGAAACCAGCCAGTTGAAACGGGTATATGGATGCTTTGTGCCATCAGGCCAGTGCAAAGCAGCTGGGACATTCCAGTGAATCTGGCCATTTGTGAGTTACCACTAGGAATTCCAGGCACTAGAAGAACTCAGTTTAGGAACACACACCCTCCTCCTCATTCCTCTAGTCACTAAATAATGTACATTGTGTGGTCAGTACAGCTGGTCAAAAAATTCAGAATTTTGAAACTTTTTCATGGGGGAAAAAAAGGGGAATTGATTCAACTGATGAAAATTTTTACCATTTTTCCGACATGGTACTAGTGGTTACGGTGATAGTTATTTATGAAAATTATTATCTCACTATCATTTCAGTTCCAATCTTAGCATTACCTGCAACAATAAAGTGATCAAACTGGCACCTGATTATGTGGAATAAGAAATACACAAAGGGTACTGGAAGCAATATTTAGTTATGGAGTAAACTAAGATGTACAGAATGAGTGGGAGGCTGTATTGTTTTAGTGGCTAGGGCACTGGATTGGGAGTCAGGAGAGTGGGGTGCTGTTCCCAGCTTGCTGGCGACCTGTTGTGTGACCTTGGATAAATAGCTTTTTTGTGCTTCTATTTTCCCTTCCATCCTTTGTCTTGTCTTTACTTAGATTGTAAGCTCTCTGGGGCAGGGACTGTCTTGCTATGTATTTGTTCAGTGCCAAGCACAATGAGGCCCTAGTCTTGGAACAGTATACCAAGGGGTATGGTGGATCTCCATCACTGACAATTTTTAAATCACAACTGGATATTTTTCTAAAAGATCTGCTCTAGGAAATATTTGGGAGGAGTTCTACAGCCTATGTTATACAGGTGGGTCAGATTGGATGGTCACAATAGTCCTTTCTGGCCTTAGAATCTGTGAATCTTGGTAGAGATCTGAAGGTGCTACTGTAATGCAAATAATAATAGGATTGGCTATTATTCTCTAATATTCTGTGGCCACCCTTAGACTATCCACTGTTAAAAAGTGCCCTAACAGATTTTTAATAAAGCAATAGCTAGCTTTCTCAGGATTGAAGCTTATCCTATAAGAGGAGACTTTTTAATACACTTTGAAAAAAAGTGTATTTTTAAACAAATATCATAAACCTCAATTAGCTGTAGATGTTTGGTTGAATCCAGATGCATTTTATTTCCTATAGTTTAAAAACAGCTTATTTGGAAGAAACAGAACTAATAAGGTTTTTAATGGTGTATTTTGGACAAGACTTTCACGATTTTTGATCTATTTCCAATTTTGGGTATTTATTTTATTTTGGTGTGTTGTACAATTCTTTTGTTGAGATTTGTTCTTTATGAGTAGCTTTTGAGATTCTTCTATTTCAGCTGTGTATTATCCTTTGGGTAACACTATTCATAGTTAATAAAATGTTGATCTGGGTAAGAAAGGATTTGGAAGGCTGCTATGTGTTTGAAAGCCAAGATTATGTGTATTGTTATAATAAAATATGCAAGTCTAGTGCCACATAAGGTCAAAATATGGATTAAAACAGGACAACATGTAGCCTGTCTAATAAAACACTGGGAAAGGGAAGTTCCACCCCATGCCCAGATTTGTCATGGCAAATCTGAAAAGCAAATGTAGCATCCTAAGTGAGTTATGCTGTGTTAACACTGAGCAAAGGTCCATTAACATTTCAAACATGCATGAGCGACTAACCCTGAAAATGGCCCTTTATTTCTGGAGAGGTAGAGGAATTTGTGCTCTTTGGGCATCATAAACTATGCACATCTTTGCTATACTGATTGAAGGTTGTTCAGGAGGAAATTCTGCAGCAATGCTGCTGCACATCCTTGCACTTACTGAGGTTGATGAGAGCATTGCAATTGACTTCACTTGAAGGAGGATTGGGCCCATGATGAATAAGAAGTGACTCCTAGTTAAAATATGAGGATATTCACCTTATTAAATAGTTTACAGAGCATCCATTGATTGTCAGTCAGATGCGTGGCATACAGCTACAAACTACTACAAACAGAAAACTAGCTGAAGATTAAGAAGAAAGACAACACAACAGCACTGTAGATTAATGAAAGGGTTGCCTGGAAAGATGAGTCTTGCATCACACTGTTATCATTGTTTATTTGCAAAGTGCAAACGATGTGCTTGATGGCGCATTTGTAAGATGTGAAGCTTACAGAGTTGAGCTCTGGTAGACCAACCGGAAGGAGCAAGTTTTAGAATTGGGTCGTTCCACTGAGAACACCTTCAGTCCTAACCCCAAGATTGCACATTTAAAGACTATCAGCGTCTTGAATTACACCAGCAAGTAGATGAAAAGTCAGTGCCGAACATCCAGTGGAGATGTTCCATGCTCATGCTAACTGTCTACTAAGTGGGTGAGCCACTGCTTTCTGCAGTAGGGGCTTGATCTAAATCAGAGTCCACTGAACTGACTGGAAAGACTCCCATTGGTCTTTGATCAGCCCCCTGTATAAGCTTTCAGTGTATATTTGATAAGTCAATCATTTAATTTTATAGTTGACAAATAGATTTGTGTATTGCCGTTTCCTTGCTCCATGCAATATCACTGTAAGAACTGGCAATGCTTAATTTTAGTAAGGGGCATGATTTAGTGATCTAAGCGCAGGCCAAAGAGCCAGGGATACCTTATTTCTAAATCTAGCTTTGTCACAGGCTCCTTTTGTGGCTTGGTCAAGTCACTTAAATTCTTTCCTTTATCCTGCCCCTCCTCCCCTGCAGTTTCCCTATCTGTAAAATGGGAATAAATTTGTTTATGTGCTTAATGGGAAGGTCCTGGGAATTAATTGACTTGTCCTTTAAAGATAAAAAGCACTATGTTAATGCTAAGTATTTAATTTCTATTTAATTTTCTCATTATCATGACTTAAAGCATTTAACATTTACATGTCCAGTGACAGCCATAGCCTACTCCTAGTGAACTCAGTGGGAAAACTTGCATTCAATAAGAATAGAAACAGGCCATAAATGTGAATGCTCCAAGCGACCGATCTTGTGTTTCTGGAAGACTGGCCACGCTGAAGTCCTTCTCCTGAAAGACCTAAAACAGCTAGAAAATGTGGTGGGCCTACACTGTCTTTGATCCTCATGGACACCTTGCACTGAAAGCAATAGGAATTGCCTTTGATCTCATTGGTTGAAAATTGTCATTGGGGGCAGGATTTTATCCCTGGTATTATAAGGGGCCCAGAATTTCCCATACTGATTGTTAAGGTTCATCTCCTGTAACAGCAGCAAATAGCTCATAAGGATGAAGAATCTATCATCATTTTTCTCAAGTGTTCCATTAAACTAAACACTGAAATGCTTTTCAAGTCAGTGATCAAATTCTAACAGGCTGGGTAGGTTCTGGCAAGGACAGTCCTAGTTTCTGCAAACACAGTTAGAAATAAGACACGCATCATATGCCTTGAGCTGGCCGTGGATTCTAAACTGCATGTCATAGCTGGTCGTATTCTAAGCTGCAGTGCAGACCCAGATCCTCAACTGGTGTAAATTGACATAGTTCTGTTGACTTCAATGGACCTATGCTAGTTTATACCAGATGAGGATCTGGCCTGCTGTGCACACTACACACTCAACTGAGCCCTGTCCCATGCTGCTAGATTAAAATAATTATAGTTATCAGTAGTATTTTGTTTTATTTTTAGTTTTCTTTTGGTAGGCAATTTTTGTCCCAATTATCACTATAGTCATGAAATAATTTTAGCTCAAGTTACTATATAATTTAATAACATTTATTTTAACAATGGTGATTTTAATCATTAGAGCTAATGAAAGCCGTGCTGCGTGTGAGCAATCACACAACTTTCTATTTATGATTCAGATTGGGCCTCCTACGTTTTAAAAAAAGAAAAAAGCGAAAGAGCTTAAGTGATGGGCATAATAAGAACCAACATCATAATCCTTAGTCTGTCAATAGTATTAGGCGTTCTTAATTAAAGCAGATGTGTTTCAAATGGAGACTGGTATTTTTCATATGTGCCCAGTGCGTGCTGCTTACAAGACTGCTGATGCTGTGTTTCAGTTGTTTATGTGTTACATTTTTCTTCCCTTTTATTGCAGCTCTTTCTTTTATGCCTTCCTGAATCTGCTGATCAGCGTCTTTGTGGTTTTTGTCATCTTTATTGCTAGCACTATAGTGAGTGTAGGATTTAACATGTGGTGTGATGCTGTTACCGAAAAAGGAAGCATGCCAAATAGGTTAGTACTGAAGGAAAAATTTTCTGTTTCACATATGCACAAATAAATGGAAGTATAACCAAATATAGTTATTAAATGCAGGGAAAGCAGACAAGGAAAGGTATTTAAAACCTGAAAGTCTTTTTATAAAGATATGATTTTGAGATTGGGATCAAAACAACGAATAAACCTTCTGCTGGTAGTCCACATGAAAGAAGAACATTGTATAGTTATTTCATTGATGTTTCATTGCCTATTAGAGAGTCATAGTTATATGGAAAAGCACAAGAAGGATAGAAAGAAATTAACACACAATGTTTATAGACTGCTGTGAAAAGAAAACCTAGTTGTGATAACTCTCTAGTGAGGGAGGGAATGTGGTCTAGTGATCAGAGCAGGAAACTGGGAGTCAGGGCTCCTGAGTTCCAAATCCTAGTTTGGACACTGACTCACTATAAGAACCTAAGCAAGTTATTTAGCCTCTATGTGCCTCAGTCTACCATCTACAAAATTGGTATAAAATATTAGCCTCATAGTGGTGTTGTTTACACCAAGATTCTCAGATGAAAACCACTGTATAAGTGCAGAGTACTGATGACCAACGTTATCTTAAGAGTTATAGAATGTATAGTTAATAAAATAATATTTGGGTTCAGTGTAGGAGGCAGATGATAGCTTGAGATGAATTTTTCAAATCAAACAAATATCAATGAAGAGATAGGAAAAAGTGACATTTTATGTCATATGATATTGAGTAACACTATTACTAGAGCATAAATTTATGTTTCACATTGTCATATGTTGCAAAATGCCATAGTAAATGTTCTGTTTAGGGCTGCAACGATTAATCGAATTATTCGAATATTCGGTTAAAAATTCTATCTCAGTTGTCAAAAAAAAAAAAGCCTAATCGAATATTCGGATAAGAATCCAAGATGGCTGACACCACTGAAAAGGACAGAGAAGAGCCTTCAGAAATCAACCAAGAGATAGAAAGACATCCTCAAAATCCTGGGATTTTTTTCATACCACCAATAAAAGTCCAAGTTATTTGTAAAATCAGTAGGCAGCCTCTCTTTTACCATCACTATATCTCCTCCTTGCTGGAGCTTCTGAAACAAAAACACCCACACAATCCCTTCTCCTGAAGCCTTGCCTGATGATGTCAAAAGGTAATGGAGGCTCGTACACTTTGTTGCATTTAGGGGTGAAACAAACATCTGGGGTGATCCAAATGTGTGTGCTTGTGCAGGAGGTGTTGGGGTGGGCGGTAGAAAAGGAGGGTTTTAAGCATATTATTTGCATAATGAAGGTTATGTTACACATTTTAGAAAATCAGTGTTGTTCATTTACATAATTAAATATAGATTTAAAAAATAATATAATCTCTCTCTTAATGTGAGAGGAAATTGGCAAGCAGCCCAGTTATGGCAATAATTGAAAGCTTATTTGATAGACTATTCAACTGCTTACTCTTTGAAGCCTTTATTCTGGTAATTCTGTTTAGAATAACGGAAACTGATTAGGACTATTTAACAGTTTGTTCTGGGAGTGGACATAACAAAAGAAGCCTATACTTATTTCAAAGGGAGCAGAATAATCTTTCTAATGGCAACATTGTCATACCTATGTTGTTTATAGCTATGCTCTTTTGTTATTATTTAGAAAACCATTCTAGCAAGGACAGTTTTTAAGTGGCTACTTCATTTTATGCTTGGTCTGTTTATTTGGAATCTCTGAAATAATTTTCTCCCCCCCCCCCCCAATGCCTTCTTCTTGTAGCTGTGAAGAACTACAGGATATAGATCTTGAACTGAATTTAGAAACCTCTGCCTTCTATGATCAGTTTGCCATTGCACAGGTAAGTCAGAACAAGATACAAGAATGTTTCAGTTCATTAGTCATTTGGACATGGACCTGATGCTACTGGTGCTGAGCCAGTAGAAGTGTTTCCATTGACTTCAGTAGGTGCTGGGTGGAGCCATAATGATGGGCATGTTTTTTTAGTAAAAATTAAAAATAGATAGCTTCAGATGTTGACTTGTACCTACTGTTTTTATTGCTCATTACTGAAATGTAACTGTCTCAGCAAGGCTCATTCCTGAAAAATTCTGAGCACTTTGGCCCCTATCCAGCAAAATGTTTAGTCTGGGATTTTCCCAAGGAGCCTATGGGAATTAAGCACCCAACTCCCACTGACTTGTGTTGGGATTTGGATGCTTACCTCCGTTATCCCTCCTTCCCCCCCTTAAATATATCAGCCTTAACGTGCTTAATTTAAAGAATGTGAACAGTCCATTGACTTGAGTGGGACTTCTTTAGTGCTTAAAGTTAAGCATGTGCTCAAGTGTTGTGGTGGATTGGACCAGAGTACTCAGCACCTTGCAAAGTCAAACCCTCAATACATTTTTGATAAGAGCATATGAACGGCCATAATGTGTCACACTAATGGTCCATTTATCCCAGTGTCCTGTCTCTGACAGTGGCCAGTGCCAAATGCTTCAGAGGTAATGACTAGCATAGGGCAACTTCAAGTGATTCACGCCTGGTCGTCCAGTCTCAACTTCTGGGACACCCGAAGCATGAAATTGCATCCCTGACCATCTTGACTAATAGCCCCTGATGGACCTATCCTCTATGAAGTTATCTAATTATTTTTTGAACCCAGTTATACTTTTCGCCTTCACAACATCCACGGGCAATTACTTGCGCAAGTTGACTGCGCATTGTGTGAAGAAGTACTTTTTTTTGTTAGTTTTAAACCTGCTGCCTATTAATTTAATCAGGTGACCACTAGTTGTTTTATGTGTAGGGGTAAATAATACTTCCCTATTCACTTTCTCCATACCATTCATGATTTTACAGACTTATATCAAAACCCACTTAGTCGTCTCGTTTCTAAGTTTAAAGGTCCCAGTCTTTTTAATTTATCTTTGTATGAAAGCTGTTCCATACCCCTGATTATTTTTGTTGCCCTTCTCTGTACTTTTTCTAATTCTAATACATCTTTTATGAGATGGGGTGACCTAAACTCACACAGTGTTTAAGGTGTGGATTTACCATAGATTTATACAGTGACATGATGATATTTTCTGTCTTATTATATCTCTCTTTTCTAATGAAAAGGAGTACTTGTGGCACCTCAGAGACTAACAAATTTATTTTAGCATAAGCTTTCGTGAGCTACAGATCACTTCATCGGATGCATTCAGTGGTCATCCGATGAAGCGAGCTGTAGCTCACAAAAGCTTATGCTCAAATAAATTTGTTAGTCTCTAAGGTGCCACAAGTATTCCTTTTCTTTTTGTGGATACAGACTAACACGGCTGCTACTCTGAAATCTTTCCTAATGGTTACTGACAATCGGTTAGCTTTTTTGACACTGCACATAGGGTGAATTTTTTCAGAGAACTATCCACAATGACTTCGAGATTTCTTTCTTGAGTGGTAACAGCTAATTTAGACCCCATAATTTTGTATGTATAGGTGGGATTATATTTTCCAATATGCATTACTTTTCACTTTTCAAACTGAATTTTAAAACAATGTAATTGAAAGATCCTATTGCAGCTTAATTTCAAGGGAGTCCCTTGGGTATTTCTACTTAAGATAAAATTTGGATGAACTCCTTTGCTGTCATCTTGGACATCATGTTTCTTGGGGGTATAGCTTCCAAGTGATGGGTAGTGTGGTCTAGGATCATGAGCACACATTGATGTCCTTGGGCCAACTTCTCCAGTGGGCTATCAGGTCCATTACTATCCTCTCAAATGGGACTTTAATAATCTGTAGGGGTACTGAGGTCGTGGGCCTTGCAATTGGCATTCAGGGCAGGAGGTGCAATAGCGTCAGACCTCCAGGTGGACTCTTGACCAAGAGAACCTTCATAGGATTCTGTCTAGGGTTTTATCCACCCCTAAATGTCCCCCAAACAAATGACTGTGGGATAGGTCTAATACTGCCCTTTGGTATCCTCGAGGTACTAGTAGCTGCTCCAGTTCTTGCTCCTATAGTCAGACTATTCTATATAATAAGTCCTTTTCATCACAAAATGTGGCCTGGGCCTTTGGTTTTCCCCTATACTGGGACCCCAATCACTTTGACTACTTCCTTTCTAATACTGTGGTACAGAGCATCATTGGCTTGGTCCTGCCCAAAATACTTGTATGAGAGACCAATATGTCCAAACTAAAAGGGGGCTATTTCTGTTTCACCCCCAGGATTAGTGTCAGTTGAATTGGGCTCAGCTTGAAGTTCATTAACTGTCTAAGTTGCCTCCTTGCCTGCTGGATGAGACTACTTACCCATGAACACCACCTTTTGATTCTGGGCCAAGATTTTGGACCCCATTCTTTTGTCTGCCCTCCTTTCTTGTTTAACCTTCCAGGATTTCCCAGTTGCTGAAAATAAGTGTCGGGCTGAAGGGCTAAATAATAGAAAATAAGAGATGGGCTACTTCCTGGGGCCATGGTATCAGCTCCGTGGTTACTGTTTTCCTCCAACCCTTCCATTGGGAGTAGATGTCTGGGAAGTTTTGTCCTTTGAATGCAGGATATAGAAGATTTGGGATTACTCCCGCTGTCACCCTTTTTGTGTTTCCCTGAACCTCTATTTGTATGGGAATGGCTGGGTAGTAATTAACTGTCCCATGTACACAGGTTACTCCCATGCATTTGGCTGGAGTCAGCTGGTTCCACCCCACCAGTTTCCCAGAGACCAGCGTAACTGCACTTCCTAAGTCTACTAATGCAATGGTCTCCGTACCATTCATTCCAACTGGCCATGTAAATAGTGCATAGTGTAAATATTTATAGTGACTCCTTTTCACTGTCACCCAGACTACAATGCACGGACCTCTCAATGTTAGGACTTTGAGCTGCTATATGCCCTAGTTCACCACAAGCATAACATCAATACACAGCCCGGGATATCCTCCTATTCTAAGACCTATTCCATTAGGTCTTATCCCGTGGCCTTCTCTCGCCAGTTCCCCAAATTCCTTCGTGCCCTCAGGCCACTCTTTGGCATCCCTCCTCCCCAATATAATTGTATCTGAACTTCTGGAGATCTGGGCCTTTGGGACTGGGGTTGAACTCTTGGTCCAGCACATATCTTATTCAGTAGTCCAAGAAAGCTCTCTGGCCATTAAATGCCTCGCTATGAGGGTGACCAAATCATCATAAGAGGAAGGATCATTTTAGCCAACCCACCCTCATAGGTTTTGGTGGTAGTCGCGTCTCATGAATCTGTCCAAAACTAAGAGTACTTTTCTGCACTGTGGGTCTTGTGACACAGCCACTTCTGCATTAGGTGGATAAGGTTGAACAGTTGTGATCTTGGTGCTTTACTCTTCCAGTACCTCCACTCATGGAATCTCTGGGCTCTTATGGCTGTAGTCACTCAGGATCTTGCAAGTATTTATTTCAGTTTTCACCTGGCAGTAGTCTTTAGCAGCTTCCACTGCGGTGTCATAGTAGGCCTTCTGGGCCTTTCCACACAGGAAAGGAACGAGGATACTGGCTCACTGGTCTCGGGGCCAGGCCTCACTTAGGACTGTTCTTTCAAACATGAGGAGATATGCCTCAATGTCATCCTCTGTCATAATCTTTTGTAGATAACTGCTGGCCTTTAGGAATCATGTTCCATCATGGCCACCTCCCAGAGTGGCCAGGGCTTTCAGTTGTCTTACTGTCTCTTGTAGGGTTGCTCGGTCCTGTGCCTCCTGGATCACCAATAGTTGATTTGTCTCTTGTTGTATTCATACAGATTCCTGCTGAGTGGCCATCTGGGCTCTGCTAGCCATTGGTTTTACCACAGTGGCCTGCACCAGTACCCTCGTCATGTCATCCATTCTCGGGAATTATCTGTCTTGACCTTGGGTTAATCCACTGCATCAATTCCCACTCCTGACACCATGTGTGGCAAGAAACCCCCCTGAAGGGCAAGGTTTAATATTTCTTCCAAAATGTCCATTAACATTGACTATGGTAACTCTGGGTATTCTTTATCTCCACATAAATGGCCATTCCCTTTTTGAATCTTGGCAAGGTTTTGGCCTCAATGACTTTCTGTGACAGTGGTTCCAGTTTATTCATAGAATTGTAGGACTGGAAGGGACCTCGAGAGGTCATCTAGTCCAGTCCCTCGCACTCATGGCAGGACTAAGTATTATCTAGACCATCCCTGACAGGTGTTTGTCTAACCTGCTCTTAAAAATCTCTGATGATGGAGATTCCACAACCTTCCTAGGCAATTTATTCCAGTGCTTAGCCACCCTGATAGTTAGGAAGTTTTTCCTAATGTCCAACCTAAACCTCCCGTGCTGCAATTTAAGCCCATTGCTTCTTGTCCTATCCTCAAGAACAATTTTTCTCCCGCCTCCTAGTAGCAACCTTTTAGAAGTATTTGAAAACTGATATCATGTCCCCTCTCAGTCTTCTCCTCCAGACTAAACAAATCCATTTTTTTCAGTCTTCCCTCATAGGTCATGTTTTCTAGACCTTTAATCATTTTTGTTGCTCTCCTCTGGACTTTCTCCAGTTTGTCCACATCTTTCCAGAAATGTGATGCCCAGAACTGGACACAGTACGCCAGTTCAGACCTAATCAGCGCGGAGTAGAGCGGAAAAATTACTTCTCACGTCTTTCTTACAACACTCCCGCTAATACATCACAGAATGATGTTTGTTTTCTTTGCAACAGTATTACACTGTTGTCTCAACCTGGATTTGTGCAGGAAATGGCCCAACTTGATTATCATGCACATTGTGTAGAGAGTTGTCACTTTGGATGGGCTATTACCAGCAGGAGAGTGAGTTTGTGTGTGGGGGGGTGGAGGGTGAGAAAACCTGGATTTGTGCTGGAAATGGCCCAACTTGATGATCACTTTAGATAAGCTATTACCAGCAGGACAGTGGGGTGGGAGGAGGTATTGTTTCATGTTCTCTGTGTGTATATAAAGTCTGCTGCAGTTTCCACGGTATGCATCCGATGAAGTGAGCTGTAGCTCACGAAAGCTCATGCTCAAATAAATTGGTTAGTCTCTAAGGTGCCACAAGTACTCCTTTTCTTTTTGCGAATACAGACTAACATGGCTGTTACTCTGAAACCCATCTTTAACTTGTGATCCACTATGATCCCCAGATCTCTTTCCACAGTACTCCTTGCTAGGCAGTCATTTCCCATTTTGTATATGTTCAGCTGATTGTTCCTTCCTAAGTGGAGTACTTTGCATTTGCCCTTATTGAATTTCATCCTATTCACTTCAGACCATTTCCCCAGTTTGTTCAGATCATGTGTTGTGTGAGAAACTATTTCCTTTCATTGGTTTTGAATTTTCTACCTTTTAATTTCACTGATTGTAACCTTGTTATTGTGTCACGAGACAGAGAAACAGAAGTTCCTGATCTACCTTCCGTAGACTATTCATTATTTATCATATCCTCTCTGTCTGGCTCTTTTGTAAGGTAACAATCACAATCTTTTCAGTCTCATTCACTGAGTTTTTTCATACCTTGACCATTCTCATCTCCAGTTTTATGTGGTGTAACGCTGTTGAAATCAATGGAGTTACGTGGGCTTAAAACAGAAATAATACAATGGTGATCAGGCCTTACATTTTTATAATTTTCTTTTCATTGTAATAACCTGTTAGAAGCTTATAAAATATTTTCTCCCCCTACCAACTTTATCATTCCTCTTTGGCCAATATTTTGTTTTGCCATGGTTCGAGCGCAGGAAAAACAAGCGTAAACTAGCTGCCATTGTGTCACATCTATTTATCTATTCTGTGCTTTATAACCAGTATATGACCGGCCACTCAGGCAAAATGTCATAAATCCTGCTCTTAGGAAAGTCATTGTGGGCTCTGACATTCACTTTAAGGTGAGCACAGCTCTGGGAACAGTGTTTGTTATTAATTTTTCAGTCAGAGATTAAAAATCATCTGGGTGGTTTATTTCTCTCAAATTGCTACTATTTAATATAAAAAAAAGGAGGACTTGTGGCACCTTAGAGACTAACGAATTTATATGAGCATAAGCTTTCGTGAGCTACAGCTCACTTCATCGGATGCAGTCAGTGCAAAATACAGTGTAATTTCATGATTACAGAGAACATGAAACAATGGGTGTTACCATACACACTGTAATGAGAGTGATCAGGTAAAGTGAGCTATTACCAGCAGGAGAGCTGGGGCGGGGGACCCATTGCCAACTGTGTCCACATATCTATTCAGGGGACATCATCATAGGGCCTAATCACATCAGCCACACTATCAGAGGCTCGTTCACCTGCACGTCTACCAATGTGATATATGCCATCATGTGCCGGCAATGCGCTTCTGCCATGTACATTGGCCAAACCAGACAGTCTCTACGTAAAAGAATAAATGGACACAAATCAGACGCCAAGAATTATAACATTCAAAAACCAGTCGGAGAACACTTCAATCTCTTTGGTCACTCGATTACAGACCTAAAAGTGGCAATTCTTTAACAAAAAAAACTTCAAAAACAGACTCCAACGAGAGACTGATGAATTGGAATTAATTTGCAAACTGGATACAATTAACTTAGGCTTGAATAAAGACTGATAGTGGATGGGTCATTACACAAAGTAAAACTATTCCCGTCCCCCCCCCCCCCCCCCGGGGCTGTTCCTCATACGTTCTTGTCAACTGCTGGAAATGGCCCACCTTGATTATCACTACAAAAGGTTCCCCCCCCCCCCCCGCCTCCACTCTCCTGCTGGTAATAGCTCACCTTATCTGATCACTCTCGTTACAGTGTGTATGGTAACACCCATTGTTTCATGTTCTCTATGTATATAAATCTCCCCACTGTATTTTCCACTGAATGCATCTGATGAAGTGAGCTGTAGCTCACGAAAGCTTATGCTCAAATAAATTTGTTAGTCTCTAAGGTGCCACAAGTCCTCCTTTTCTTTTTGCGGATACAGACTAACACGGCTGCTACTCTGAAACCTATGTTAATATAGTACAAATTCTGGTCCTATAAATACCAATTCTGCTTCGTCTGCATTTTCCTTATGTAGGTGTAATTTCACTGTGTTTCCTTTGCTATATATTGTTGTCTTCACCAGGGGTCATGTCCAACCATAATTGTGTGTGTGTGTGTGTGATGTTCCCCTCACTGTCAGTGGAAGGGTAGTGTAGAAGTATATGGTAGGATATGACTGAGTAAACTGCAATTATATATCCAGCTGCTGACACCAGGGTCATTGGACAAATTATGTGCAGGGGGATACCTTCTTTTGACTATAATAAGGAACGGTGCAAGAAAAAATTCTGCTTCATACAGTGTGTGCCAACATATACAGAGATCCTGCAGGAGGAAAGTTTACTTTGTTGTAGTACACAGGAGAACTAGCCCCAAACAATCTTGTCCTAATTCCTACTACTGACCTACCAGGGGCAGCCTATGCTGCTTTAACTCCTGTACATTCATGAGTGAGGAGTGAAGGTGCATCTGCCAGATTCTTTTATGTTGACAAAAGGAAATGCAATTTCAGGGCACAGACCTGCTAGTGTGTAAGGAACCCCAGAAGTAGATCATGTGAAAAAAGATCCCAGTGGGGAACAAATTCCTGCAGTGCTATCTGTTAGTATCATAAGGTACATTAAGCAGAGTTTCAGCCGAGCCAGTTTATGGGTTTTTCTTTGGCACCGTGATAATGATTCTTCAAGGCAAGTAGAGCAAGAATGGCCATCCTTAATGGTCCAGGAAAACAGGTCCTTGTATAGCACACTGATGGCTCAATATAGCTGTTCATACCCAAGCACTACTCTCAGGGAATACACTGGGAATGTTTCCTGAATAAGAATTACAGAGCTGGGCCCGGGTAAACTTTGCAAGGAGAAACTAACCAGTTTGATGATCGCTGGCATTTAAATACTATTCAGCTGGTTCTAGCTTGTCCAGAACTTTTCTTTGATCTTCACTCATTAACTGAATTATGCTAGATTTATCTAGAGTCTTTCATGCTGAGTATGTCTCAAAAGGCATAGAAAAGCCACTTAATGCAGACTTAAATCTGTGTTGAGACCATTTAAGAGAGTGCTACAATTTTGATGTTGCACTAATGACACGAATGCAGATATGCGATACTACATATTAGCCCAAATGAGTGTGATTTTAACACCTTCTCATTCCATATCTTTTTATCTAACTTACTTCATTGCTATTTTTAAAGACATTTTATATTGGTGGACTGAGATGTAAATAAGGACAAAAACGTGGGAAATTTTCAAAAGTGTGTTAAGGGTCTAATGTAATTGACATTTATTGATGTTTATTGTTATTGTAAAGATTATTCGTCAGGGATTAATACAGCATAATACAGAAAGGAAGGTTAATACATTGCCAATGAATCTGGAAGACAGAAGTGCAGCTGGTGAGACTCTTAAAGATTTTGTGCTTACCCTGCTTGTATTTATACCTGACTCAGAGAAGCTTCACAATTTTCTCTGTATTACTTTAAACTACCACTCATTTCTTGTCTGTCTTCTCTGACACATTTTTTGAAGCTACCAAGAGGCCAATAATTGACTGTATCTGGTAGATGGGACACATTTGTAAGTTTTAATGTAGAATACATCTTACATTCTGACAGGTTTTACACAACCCCTCCACGAAAACAGGACAGACATTGTAACAGTTTCTTCATTTTGTTTTGATCATAGCATTCCAAAAGTCAGCAAGACTTTAAAGACATTCTGCACCATCTCTAGCTTGGTACAGAGGGCATGTTAGCTAAGTATCCAGAAAGTTGTTTGTCTTGCCCTGTCTCTCTGGGATGTCTCTGTACCTAACATTGAAATTAGAACACTTCACACCTCCCCTTGATTTAACATAAGTAAAGAGCATTTTGAAAGGAGCATAACATAAATGCAATTCATACACAAACATATGTGATATATATAGTAATATTGTATATGATATTGGCTAACATTGTAGACCTTACAGACTTTCTCTTATCTGGCTCCATACATACTTTACTAGACACAGAGGGTTGATAGCAGCCAAATACAGCACAAATGCCAGAAGGTTTAGTGGGTTGAGTGTATTTCACAAGATATAGTGGTAATAATATTATATAGGCTTATCATTGTTATCGTTATCTTTTTACTCTTACTTTTATAGTAAATGTAAAGGGGGTTACCAACCTGAAAAGACTGAGAAACAATGGGCTAGATCATCCGCTGGTGTAAACTGGCACAACTCCGTTGAAGTCCATCCAGACGAGGATCTGTCTTTAAAATGAGGGTTGGCTGTATCTTGACAACACAACATTAATCTCTCTGCCATCTCTTTTCCTGCCTAGTTTGGTCTCTGGGCTGCCTGGCTGACTTGGCTGGGAATTACCATTTTGGCCTTCCTGAAGGTTTATCACAACTACAGGCAGGAAGACCTGCTAGACAGCCTGATCCATGAGAAAGAGCTGCTGCTAGGACGATCCTCTTCACGAACCTTTTTGCAGGATGAGAAAAGTGGCATGATCTAATATGTAAGCCACTCGATGGTACAGGTTGTAAATTTTATAATTCATTAGCACAAGCTGCAGTGAAGAGAATTGGTGAGTGTGTGAAATCATTGCTTTCCTGAACTGAAATTTAATTTAGAATTATACAGTCCTTTAATGAGAAATTGTCAGAAGCCATATTTCTGTTAGGATATAGACAATGAACTGTATGATACAATAGGCTTCCTTTCCTGTACATCCTGGGAGCAGAACTAATTATGCCTGTGTATGAAGATGGCTGTCCCTATCAGGGTTCTAGCATGCTTTTCCTGATTATTGAGGGAAGGATGTTTTCTGAGAACTGTGCTAGCAAAACCTCGCTAAAGACCACCCCTTTAGTGTAGTTTGCAGCGTGGTTTTAATGTTGTTCTAGCTAGCACTGCTCTGACCTACTTATGGAAAGGGCCTTTGATACCCCCAAATTTGCTGTATACATATGAAATATTAACAACAATTTTATAACCCTTGCTCCCATTTGATTTGATCACTTTAGAACATATGGAGCTGTGTATCTGACTATATACTTAATGTTAGATACAGTAAAATTCATACAGTGACATAAGATATTACAGCATCTTAAACGTACCGTATATTTTTGGAGGGATTGTAGAGCCTATTTATGTTTATGTTTCATCTTAGACTTTGGCATGGCCAGCATTTATTACTGCTTTGTAAAATGTAGTCTAACGGGCAGTAACTGCAGCTTGCATAGCAAGAGATTAATCTTAATATATTAATGCTTGCTCTTTCATATATGTAATTTGATCCCTGGTATTATATACTATTCAGCTTCAAGTATTAGAGTTTATTTGTGCTATTTATCTCAAACAGGATATGTGAAATTATTATAAATAGCTGCATAGTAGATCTGTGAATGTCTATCAGTACAGTAAACTGTAAAAACTGCTCAGTAATCACATAGCTGGTTCTTTTATGAACTGGGCTATTTTCCCCCGCATTGGCCAGGGGCTGCTCCAGGATTCAGTATTGCCACCCTGAAAAGGGAGAAGGGCCATTTACTTTATGTAGTCCACTAGGGACTTTGCTATTGCTCTTGATTTTACACAGAAAGTGCTCAGATGGTAGGATAATGGGTGAGATTATAAAACACTAAAATATATCCAACGATTAGGAACACAGATAAGTCAGAGGGCAGTGGAATTATTACGCTCAAGAATGAATGCCTTGTTAGTATATAGAGAGACAAGATGGACGAGGTAATATCTTTTATTGGACCAACTTCTCTGGGTGAAGAGACAAGCTTTTGAGCTTACACAGAGCTCTTCTTCAGGTCTGAAAAAGCCTGAAGAAGAGCTCTGTGTAAGCTTGAAAGCTTGTCTCTCTCACCAATAGAAGTTGGTCCAATAAAAGTTATTACCTTACTCACCTTGTCTCTCTATTATTCTGAGACCAACATGGCTACAATAACACTGTAAACAATAATTGCTAGTATTTAGGCTATAGTCATCAGGTACAAAAGGAATCTGAGGCCCCAGTTTAGCAGAGTGCTTAAGCAAATGCTTAATTTTAAGTATGTGACTAATACCACTGACTTCTGTAAACTGCTGAATCACGGTCTGAAGGCACAAAAATCACTCAGACTTACAATTCTTCTGTTGCACAGACTCTGCTGTGTTTCTGAGAATCTAAGATTTTGTGTATGGATTAACGGCCAAACTGTTCCCGTATGTGGGAAAAACCTATGTAGGGGATGTGAAACTCTGAATTGTTCAATCAGGGGAGCTGGCTCTTGAAATCTGCACGTCATAGAGTTCCAGACGATTTCCAGAGACTAGATCTGTCTGAACAGGGTTTCTAGAAACAAGGTCCATCTACACAGAGGCCCTGTTTCCATGTACTGGTTCCTACCCACAAAGGAACAAAATTCCTGCAGGAGCCATACTGCCACAGCATTCTCCAGCTGTGAATTCACATCAGGGAAGGATTTTAAGAAGATGGAGATGGAGACCAAGTAAAAGTTAATGCCAGTTTAAGGTTCAGCATTAAGGCCCCCATCCAGCAAGTTACTTAGCCTAATTTTGAGCATGTGGTAATATCACTGACTTCCATGGTGCTATTCACATGCTCAGAATTAACTTAAGTAATTTTCTGGGTGGGACATAAGTTACTTGTTGTTGATGTAGAAAGTGGATGTCTCCCCATCACTTCCTATCCTAGATAACAGAGGCTGTCCTTTTGGGAATGCTTCCACTGGTTCTGGAGAAGAGTATGATGCTGTGAAGATGAGGCTGTCCTTCCCTCCACTTTCACACTGCCTGCCTCCCTGCAGGTGCCTGATTGTCTTTCCCCAATCCACTGTCCCCCCCCAAAAAAGAAGAGAATATTTGGCTCAAAGTTTCTAGTCTGTTTGGTTTTGCAGATAACTTTTATTCTAGGAATTAAAGCCCTTTCATTATCCTGTTTGTTCTTCAGCTCAGTAGACTAAATCTGGGATTTTCAAAAGAGACTAAGGGAGTCAGGAACCCAATAGGAGTTGGGCACCTAACTCCCTTAAATTCCTTTGAAAACCCCAGCCCAAATTAATATAATACAAACAGGTGAGAGAATGTCTCTATTCATCTGAATCAGGTGGAATGAGTTGAGGTAGCTAGTTAGGATGGTTCATTAGGGCTTAAAAGCAAGGAGCTTTTCAAGGAAAGTTCCCTAGTAGCTCGAAGGAAGAGGACAGAGATTAGCAGCTATGAAGCTAGTTTAGAAGAAGGCGAACTTCTGAGCTAGGTTGTCAGAAGTAGTTTAGTTTTAACCTAACTGGGCCTTTTTGTTTGAGAAGTTTTCCTCTAGTTTTCAGTCTGTGAGAAAGCACTCTGCCAGCTCATATTCTAAAGCTGAAACACCCAGGCCAAACTACTTGTGCCAAAGTGAGGGCTAGGGCAGAAAATACGGCCAGGGATGAGAATGTGAACTTGTTCTTTTATATTTTGCAGCATCCAAGTTACTCTTTCTAGCTGTAAATTACCAAGGCATTATTGAGTTAGGCACCATTATTAATGCATCACCATTCTTTGACCTTTCAAATTCTTCTTTAATTTGCATTGTCCAAAACCATGCCTGAGACCCGAGTAGTTTAACAAGGTTGTGCATTTCATGTAACAGAACTCAGCATTTTTTTTTTTTTGGGAAGGATTGTAAGGAGGGAGTGTTTCAGTGGTTTTTGCCATTTCCTCCCCCTATATATCTATTGCTGCTGCCCATAGCAGATACCCTTGTTAAGAATGTGGCCTGCATTTATTTTGCTCATGGACATACTGATGTTTAAATCAGACTCAAAAGACCACCTTTTTGGCCTACATAAAATGGCTGATAGTAACGAAGGTAGAGTTTACATAGAGCCTTATTTATTAAAATGCAAATAGACACTGTTCTGTTGAATTGCTACAACACCAACAAGGTATTGACACACAAGTAACCTGCTATGTTAGATACATTCCAGATGCCCTGGCTTCCACCAGTGCCCTTTTCCTGTTCGCAAAACCACTTGGGTTAAGGAGTTATGTTCATTGCTGACAGAGGACATAGTGCTAGAAAAACCTGATCGAGCTGAGAAACTGTAAAAATGTGGTTTTGTTTTTTAAAACCAAAACTTCTTTTAAGAGAGCTCAAGTAAAACAATAGTTTGGAGCAAAGTGTTTTTAAAAGGGCAGAAAAGCTTGTAAAGTCCTGTCCCTTAAATATTCAAAGCATCATGCAGTGTTTCATCCCTGAATCTCTCATGGGCATCACGTAGGTAAAACTCTGCAGCTTTGCTTTGGGAATTTAGGGGATTGTGCTTGTTTATGATGCTGCTGAGAGAAATATGTACTATAACAAAAGAAAACTCAGATAAGCATGATTTGTTGATGAAGGTGTTCAGTATTAGAGAGGGGTGTGTGTGTGTGTGTACACATGCACACATATGCCATGTTAAAGGGGTTGTTAGGATAATCCCCATTATTAAACCATGATATTGATGTAAAATCCCCTGTAGACAGTCAGAGAATATGTCAGAATAGCTTAAATTTCTACACTGCCTTTTTTTTTCTTTCTTTCTTATCTGCATGATGCCACTTAAGATATGGATACCTCTCTCTGTTATCAAACAATTTCATTGTTAGTGTGACTGAGTACTAGTTCCTATCCCTCAAGGTTTATCCTCACTTATGCAGAGTATTAGGGATTACTGTTTATACTTTTATATAATCTTGAACAAGACAGCATAGTTATAGATGAAGGCAGGAGAAGTGTTACATTTTGTAGATTGAAATACATTGGAATCCTACATGACTGGAGGATGACATTCCCTTTGAACAAAGTTCCTAATGTAACATGAATGTGCATTGACTCCTTGATGCACATTAACCCTTTGATGGAAGTGTTACTATTAATTAGGACATAGTAATTAATGCTTATTCAAAATAGGTGTCAAATACCTTAAAGTATATTTTCTTGAAAGCCTTAATCCTTCAATTGTCAAAACTAATTCTTCTTCTGCAACAGCCTAGCAAATGATGTAAGACCCAAAGCAATTAGCATGGTTTTTTTTAAACAATGATCCATCAATTGGAGAAGAAAAGTAAATGCAAGGAAGGGAAGAAAGATGTATATGAACTGCGATTATATACTGGTAGGACTGTAGAGGGGAAAATTCATTTTAAACCCCATTGGTTTTATTCAATTAGATGAGATAATAAGAAGCCAGATCTGCAGCTGGTGTAAATTAGTGTTGCTCCATTGAAGTCAATAGAGCTATGTTGATTTACACCAGCTGAAAATTGGGCAATTTATATTTAAAAGCATTTGAACACTTGTTTCCCCCTTCAGAGCCATATATGCAAATATCTGGTTAAATTGACAAGGGCTTTGATACTAAGTCACTGAAATGGATGACAAAGCTGGTCAGTCTCTGGTGGCTAATTATATCAGGACCTTTCTGAATGTATTTGTTTTTCTTATAGAGATTACTCATTTAGGGCATGATCCAAAACTCACAGAAGTCCACTGGAGTGTTTCTACTCTCTTCTTTGGGCTTTGGACCAGGGCCTGATCCTACAATCTCTGTGCGCTCAAAACTCTCATTGATAGGAGAAACATAATTGAGTGCACAAGGAGGGCAGGATTGGACTCTCAGTTACACTGAGCCTCTATTTGAATTCTAGTCCGAGAAGTTCTTGCTTCTTTGTACAGATTTAGTATACTCATTTCCCAGTGCTGCTGCTAGCAGTTAGCCTCTACTGATTTTGAGATGCAAAAAATCAATGACAGACTGACATTGTGTGAAAAATTGATTCTCTGCATTGTCTTTAAACACATCCATCCACATAACAGTTTTGTAAAGTACAGTTTAAAATGAGAAACCTCCAAACCAGAATGATCTGCAGACTACTTAATACAAAGCACGTGCATTTTGGTGTATGTGGTGTTACGCTGTATACAAACACCTTGTTTATAATTCCTGTCCTCCAGTGTTTGCATCCCAGACATTTTCTGTAAATCACTCACAGCTGCTTGAATTGGTTCTCCTTTATGTATAACATTTGGCTGATCATACAAATGGGTCAGAATTATATTCTCTTATGAACATTTAGTTTGGGGTTTGATTAAACTTTTGTGTCTACTTCAAAATCAGAGTCCTGGGAGTGAACACCTGTGAACTCTGAGGAAAGTTTGCATTCGGATACAGATCTGAAATCTGTAGCTAGGGCTGCCCAATCACTAATCTTTGCTGATGGAAATGTTCTATTTTGTCTTATTAAGATGTTTGTTCTGCAGGCAAAAACCCTGGAGACTGCAGTGCCCTTTTTAAAGTTTGTCCTAAGAGGAATAC